TCTAAACCCCTACTCAGAGGGTCAGGGGGGGGCATTGTAAGTCCACTCATGGCCCCTATAAGCAACATCATACTGTAACCCCAGCTATCCCCATTAAGAACCTACTAAACCCTAAAACCCTAAGCCCTAAAACCCTACACCCTAAACCTAAACCCTACAACCCTAAGCCCTAAAACCCTAAATGCACCAAGTCCCCAAGCTCCCAAAACTCCTAAGGTCCTGACTTCGCACGACCAGTTCGTGCTACTGGTCACTTCCATACGACAGCCGGGCTCCTGCTGATTGAATGCTTGGAGGGTTCAAGGGGAGTTACTCGTAGCAAGTAATAATTTCAATGAAAAAAGAATTATCATCCTTTTTAGGGTGCAGGTTTTAGGGTTCAGGGCGTAGGGGGGCAGAACCAATTGCCAATCCAAGGCAAACGGTGGCACTTATTTTTTCAAGCACGAGCGGCATTACGATCGGAAGGAGATGCGTGCGCGACCTTCTTGGAAAAGACAGCTTTTGCAAGTGGTTCAAGTGCACCTACAAGTGCAGATGTCTCAGAAATTGCTTCTGACAGAGGTGGTCCTGTTTCCTGATTCGTACACGTAATTGTTTTCAATTCAGATGGTAACAGTCACTATGCTAAACCCTAAGCCCTAAACCTTACACCCTATTTCAGCATATGTTTTGGAGGCTTCGCCTACACCCTATTTCAGCATGTGTTTTGGAGGCTTCGCCAAACCAGCAGAGCACACTGTTGCCGTTGGGTCTAGTTATGTTTTGGTGTTGGCATGTGCTGTAAAATGCTACACCAACATGACCCACAGTCTAAACTCCTATTAATACCCCCTCTAGCAGTGTCCTATATAATCCCCTATATATCCCCCCTTGAGTAGTCCAGATTATGGCCCACACGGGAACCCTATCCTAAACTTGGGAGCGAGGAGGGGTATCGGAGCTGCTACCTTCCCAGACCCTCCAGGTACCTACTATTCAGGCTTATGTAGCAGCTATTAGGGACCCTATAACCACAGTCTAAGGGTACTGGGTGGGGTTTGGGTTCAGAGCAGGATTTGCCAGTCTCCCACTGTCCCTGGCTCTTTTCATTGCAGGCCTCTGAGCTTTCCTCCGCCTTTCAAGGGAGCCAAATCTCAAGATGAGTTCTGAGGGATCACCTTTACCATGGCAGCATACAAGAGCCCTTGATGTTCTTTACTGGAGAGCACGGTGGGGATCCCAATCAGGCTAGAAAATTGGGGTCTCCTCTAACGGGGCGTAGGGCTCAGGATTCTTGACCTTTCAACGGAGACCTGCAACTTGACATTACCGAGTGATTGCTTCTTTGAGGCTGGGCATTCTCGATCACCTCAGCGTCGATGACGGTGCCTGGTTGATGGAAATCTCTGCGGAGTCTAGTCGATATTATCCAATATGGCAGTTTCCATGCATAGGGGGGACCCCAATACAGAGCTCCAAAGATTATCTTCCTGTCATGCGGACCCCAACAGTGACCCTTGAGTTTTGGAACCCCCTGTATGGCCGAATGAAGGCTGTAGTAGAACCGTTTGAGCTACTGTCAATACTAGCCTTAAAAAGGGACGCTTACCGGTGGACATCGCGGTCCCTCTTGTAGTTCAATATAGACCCGAATGAGGAGCCCGTGTCCATTAGATTATGTAAGAAATGTTGGTTGCGGCTCATTTGGGGATTGAAGCCTTTTACCGTGCCTTCATGGCCTACAGTCGGGTCTGCCAAGATACCGCTTCCTGCACAGTCCTTCTTGTCAGGACGGCAGACAAGGAAGGGTTTAACCCTAAACCCTCTAAGGGTTTCGGGTTTAGGGAACCTATAAGGAAGCCCCTCATTTGCATCCTGGGCATTCCCCGACCCTTGCATAATGATTTTGGCTGGTCATGGATGATGTACAGGTGGGCGGGTAGGTACCAAAGGTTGACAAGCTAACTCCAGCTCCTGAACCCCTACATCCTAAACCCTACAAGCACTTAAACCCTACGTAAACCCCTATCCCCAAGTCCTACACCGAAAAGCCTACTGTAAAAGACTGAGCAATCAGCAGCGCTCTGTTCACAGGTGCCCTTTATCATTATCGCATATGGTACCCCAAAACGAGCTCAACACGATGCTTGTAAGCACTTAGGCCCCTACCCCCCAACCCCTGTAAATCTCCATACGTTCCCAGTTCCGTATCATTTTCCGCATTCTTTACACTTGATTCCCCATTCGCATTTAAGCCGCTGAACACTACAGCCTAAACGCCATACATCCCCCGTAACACCTTCAAAGAGACCCTTAACAAAGATATTGGTAATCCCCACACCTCCGGCGTGCGTCAGGTGTGCTGATGCGCTTCTTCCAGGTGCTCCTAAATCTTGTCATGTACGGATTTCCGGAAAACAGAGGGCTCAGTGTTGGGCCTAGCGTTGCGGGTCTAGAGTCTGCTGAAGGCATTAGGGTATAGAATTTGAATTTAGGACATTTTGGAGTAGATGAGGGTACACCCAACTTCAATCTAGATGGTGGTTCCAAAAAAGTTCCAGCTCCCTTGCGATGGAACTATTTAACCTAGCCAGAAGATTCCTCTACAGGTTGAGAAAGGAACATGGTCTGAGGGAGGCATGGGGAAGGCAAGGTCTTTATCAAAATAGCAGTCCACCTTTTGGGCGCGCTGGGTAGATGAGAACCATGTTTGTAGCCCTAAACCCTAAAACCTAAAACCCTGAAACCCTAAACCCTAAACCCTAAACCCTGAACCCTGAACCCTAAACCCCTAGGCCAGCAGAACCCAACTGCTGCTGAGTTTCATGTTTAAAGACAGGAGTCCCTCTGGTAGTAGCTCTGAAAGGAAGTGATGGTTTGGGCACGTAAGGATTACACGGGGATTGCATTGGGATGATATATAGGGATTATAGATAAGCCTTTATTTAGGATCTAGTTTTTGGGCTCGGTGTTTGCCGTTAAGAGGGTTCTTATTACGCCAAGAACGCAGAATCACATGGAAAATACGATGGACAATGAAATCAAAGCTGGGAAGAGAGATGGCTTTGGGGCTTACGGTTTAGGGTATAGGTTGGCCCATTTGTATTGCCCCCACCCAGTAGTCTGTAATTGGGCTACTTTGGGGGTCAGGGGGACTTGGAAACTTCATGTACATTTTTCAGGACTTACTAAGCCCCCCTGACCCTCCAAAGAGTACTATGAGCCTTACATATTCAGATTGCAACCGTTATCCAACTGTTACTGGGTGGGGGCAGTATCCAAGTCATGGTTTTCAAAGACAAAGGATTCAGGGTTTGCGCCGCGTGCCGCCTAGAGATTGCATTAGCTGCCCCTGCAAGCAAACAACATTTGTCCTAAACCCCAAATCCTAAATAGTAGCTTCCATTATCTTTGCCATCATTATATGGTCCCTTTATGTGGACAGCAGTCCTTGTAGGCATTGTCTTGGGAGTCCTCTGTAGACCACTTAGCAGACCCCATGATTACCGTGATCCCCTTACCATCCCATACCCTAAACGAGATTCTTTAGGGCTGCGCATCTTCTCATGGACGTATTGCAGGCTGTCAAAGGCAACTACAGAGCCGTCCCGCCAGCCACCCAGTTTCTGGTTTTCAGTCTTTATGCAATTGCCTGGTACGCATGTGAGGAATGATCCCCGACGTCAATACGTCTAGAGCACTAAGGAGTTTCAAGCAGAGTCCTTGTAGAAGTCACCATCGTGCTGCAGAGTCATGCGCAGTTTCTGTATAGTCTCAACCACATGCTTGAAGTCGCCAAAATTGGGCCAGCTGCGGCTGCCCGAATCGTGTCCCCTCTGCGCATAATCCCCTTTCCACAGTTAAAAACCTGCACCCCCATCATACTGAAGGTTCCCCAGTATTAGGCCATACCACAGTCGTTTTTTTTGAACATGTTATGGGGCTGAGGATTTTTCGGAGGGACAATTGCTCGGATGCACTGGTGTCACTTCCAACTCACACAAAAACTACCGCAACTACTGCGTGCACCCCTCTACGAGAAGCCATTATCAGCAACTTCGGATTGTGCTTTGCATGCCACTAACGGTTTTTTGGCACAGCACAGTTCGCATTAGGTAGCAAGGGGCAGCAAACAATGGCTCTGCTTCATCGACCGCTTGGATTTAGCCCTGCAGAGATTGACAGGTTCCTGGAGCACACGAACCAGACGCAAGCACTCTTCAACATGGCGGCAGAATCTTTTCAGATGCTTTACGAACAATTCAATGGTGTCACTTCAGATGAGCTTGGCGATCTTCGACAGAAGTATGAGAGGCGCGGCGAGGAACAACTGGCAGAGATGCTAGGAAGTGTGAGTCTGATGGGACAGGGATCTTGCATGATCCTTGTCAATCCAGAAGACAGTCCGCACACCAGCCTTACCAAGTTCTTCGTGCTCTTCGCGCGCCGAGATGACAAGTCCTACAATCTCATTGTGGCAAAGGCGTCACAGAAGAAGACCATCCAGGCCAGTAAGGTTGCTGCCGCTTTGGGATGCTCGTGCCTTACAGGTGTGCTTACGGGAGTGTTTCTTACTACAGCGACTGGTGGAAACCCTGTGGTGGGTGGCCTGCTCACGGGGGCAGCACTAGCAGCCATGGCGGGATCCAAGACCGCCTATGATTACAACCGTGTCATGGACAACGTCATCACTGGCTATGTTTGCAAAGAGTTGCAAGAGCTGGGTGTCATCAAAGTCTCCAACGACTCCATCATCCTTTTATGAGTCGCAGCATCTTCCTTTACGTCTTTACATGCGTAGTAGTCTTCCACTTGTGCCGAAATGGGGCTTGCTGATCAGCTGTGGTACGGCTGGGTCAAACAGCTTCTGTCCGTTCTTTCATGATGGTGTAGGGTTAAGGGTTCAGGGCATTTTCCAGAGTTCAAACTGGAACATGCTGCGCCCACTTTTTCACTGCATCTCTGTGCGTCATAGTTTTCAAGCTCTCATAACTTCGAGAAGAGCCCACGGAGCTGAGGTTCCACAACTTCCATCATGCCATGTCCACCACCCACTATGCCTCCAAGATGGCGAAGGCATCGGCATCAGATACCATCAGTTGTCTCCTGTACGGAAGACCTCGCAGAGGGCTCAGGATTTATGGGAGGGTTTCGTTTGGGGCGTGGTTAGACATGATTCATAAAGCTGGGACCTCCCTATGGTCCCTGTCAGGCTGAGTGTCAGGCTAGGCTTCTTCCTTTCACTCTGGTACTTACTGGTGGTTAGTACGGAACAAGGAAATATGATCCCTATGTAGTACATTCCCTTCTTCCCTGAGAACCCTATGATATGTCGTGGTGCAGCCCCGGTCACCTTGATGTGAAGATGTACGAGTTTCATGCAAGCCCACCATCGACTGTCACAGCCCTCAGTGCCATCTGGTAGTTTCCCAAAATGAGGGGACCCCAATATAGACCCCCAAATACTATAATCCTTATTATTGGGACCCCCAAAAAGGTACCCCTAATTTTGGGAAACCACCATCTAGCCAGGCAGCCAATCTATCAGCCTTGTTGTCGTATCCCGAGCTGTTTGCGCTGGTGGCAGCGAGCTGAGTTGACAAATTGAAGCAAGGTGCTGTCGAGTAGCATGGCTGGTCCTGAAGATGTTACCCTTCGAAATTGCAATCATTAATGAGAGCCCTCAGTCCCCTTAAACCCTCATATGGTAGTTTCCCTAAATAAGGGGACCCCAATATAGACCCCCAAATATTATAGTCCTTATTATGGGGACCCCCAAAAAAGGTACCCCTAATTTTGGGAAACTCCCATATATCTGCTCCCCCGGGGCGGCCTGAGTTTCAGAAGGCCACGTATCGTCAAGCTTTCCCACGCATGTCTTTGCTTATATGATTGTTTACGTCCTATGATTTTCGAGGCGGGCATTTCTCTTACGGAGCGACATTTTGCTTAAATGTCATCCTAAATCCTGCCCCATTGCTGTCGTTTCTGGCACTTCAGCTTTGAAGTCTGCGTAGGTTCCAAACATGTTCTCCATACGCGAGTTTCCGATGCTAAAGTTCCTTTAGGAACTTTAGGGGCATTTAGATTACATGGGGATGATGTAGGCCGCTAGTCGGAACGTAATATATGACATGTTCCTTCAGGGGCCGTGTACGGCGTCCCTTTTAGGGTTACCGCAAGCCTTCTGTTTCACATAAATCCTAACTTTCCTTCTCACGGTTTCCAAAGCAAGACATGGCCCGACATGGCACTGAGATTGGAGCACTCTGTCATGACCTTGACCATCGCGGGTACGCTCTGGCAGAGTTTATGCAGGAACGGGGTTTAGGGGCTAAGGATTTGGAAGGCTTTCCGGGTGCGGGTTCGTCAAAAGAGCCTAAGCGTTGTGGAAGTCTTGGGCAGAACGTGTAGGGTTTCGGGAGAAAGGTTTGCGGAAGGACTACCGCGAACAAGTAGGACCTTGATGGCTGCTTGCTTCAACAGCAGCTCCTTCTGGAATGGTCGCTTCTTACCAGTCTTTCTGTTTGTCCTTGAACCGTGGCTTTGATGATCTCATGTCCATCTCATCGATTTGATACTCTGAAGTCTTGGATGCTGGGTTGCTGTTAAGGAACTTAAATTAAGTTACCATATTGAGAAACCCTATTACTTACTATACATACCCATTATGGTAACTTAGTTTAAGTTCCTTAACAGCAACCCAGGATGGGGTGGACCTGGGAATGCACAGGCATCTCACGCACAGGTAGAAGTCTGCTGCAGGCGCTATCTGTGGGCTTCACCTCGAGATAAGTAGGAGCTTCTAGGGTCTTTGTGGCTAGGGTTTAGGGTTCAGGGTTTAGGGTTTAGGGTTTAGGGTTATGTGTGCAGGGGAAGTCTTTCTCTCGAGTCTTTTTGGAAATGGGTGTTGGGCGGTCCTGGAGAATTCGGGAACCAACTGTGAGAGCTACTCTTAGGGGACCCTCCCTGGGGCCTGGGTTGTTTTGCCGGTGAGCCCTGTGCTGCCCTGAATTAGGGTGTGGACCTTTTTGTAAGGGTTTAGGGCTTCCATTGACCGTAAAATCTGGCCTGACTTGCTGAGGTATAACAATGCCTTCGAGATCATGACGCGGAGTGAGCTTGCGTTCTCTCCCCAGCTTTGGCAAGTATACAACGAACCCCTTAATCCTAAAAAAACCACTCCAACAGCCGCAGTGCCCCCCCACCGCAATATGGAGCCAGGTCGGTTAAGCTATCTTGAAACATGGAGGGAGCCCCAGGTATAAGTACTGGACGCCCTGATGGTCATGGATCCTTGCTAGCATATGCATTCCACCTCATGGCAGGATCTTGGATTAAGGGTTTAGGGCTACGTCGACTTGAGGTCCTCATATGCAGCCTAAACTTGTAGAGCCCAGAACATGGGAAGAGTGATTCCGACCCGCGGTAAGGCTTCGCTACAACGACTCCTCGCCCCTGGAGAATCATCATTGTGCCAGGCGCAGCAGTGTACAATTTGTGCCTTTGATTCAATTAGGGTTTAGGGTTAAGCGCTTACTATAGTATGCTGTATAATGTATATTATAGTCACTATAGTAGATTGTAGTAAGCAGTGCAAGATATTATAACATACCTGCCGTAATATACTACAACATACTCTATTATATTGTCTAGTATACAAGAGCGCAAAGGGTTTTGGGGTTCAGGTAGTGTGACAGTAGCTGCAGTACTGTCAAGCGTTTCATCGTCGGACGATGAGGAAATGAAGACTAGCACCAACAGAAGAGACCATAGAACATCCCGGTGAGGATGTCCATGAGGCCAATTAGAGTTTAGGATGTAGGGTGCTCCATGAGCCAGGGAAGCAGCCAACGTCACTGACATTCATCTTGATGACTACATACCCCTAAACCCTACACCCTAAACCCTAAACATACTGGGCAGTAGTACAGGCAAAAGCTCTGATCTAGCTTGCAGGTTCACTGTTTCTCTGCCTCCTCCTTCTGAATCTGCGCGCTATAGAAGCGATATGCGGGTTTCCTAAAACTAGAGGTACCTACTATAATGGGGAATCAAATGGAAAAGAAAATGGAAAATGACAAGGAAACTGGGATTACATAGGGGGTTATATGGGGGATTAAAGGGATTAGGGTTTCCCAAAATCAGAGGTTCCTTTTTTGGGGCGTCCCTATAATAAGGACTATAATATATTGGGGTCTATATTGGGGTACCCTCATTTTAGGAAACTACCATACAGGGCTGTACAGGGGGTAAATGGGGGCCATCGGCGGGCTGGTGGGCTCTACAAGGGGTATATGATCCACGCCCCCCTGAAACTAGCCAGCCCCTTCACTCCAAAGCTACCCAAAGTCCCGAGCTCCGGTACCTCCACCCCCATCCCCAATCCCATAATCTCTAAGTGAGAGTTTTGCAAACTAATCCTGCAGAATGCTTGAAAGGGGCCCTTGTAGTCTTTCCGTAATCCCTACACATTCCTAGGGCATTTGGTAGTTTCTCAAGATAAGGGGGCCCCAATATAGACCGCAAAATACTATAATCCTTATTACTGGGACCCCCAAAAAAGGTACCCCTAATTTTGGGAAACCCCCATTTAGCACCACACATTTTCAGCTCCACGAACTGAAGCGCGCAGGGCCTTTGAGACAGCTCTCAATGGCGTTGACTGCAACATCTTCCAGGATTGGAACTCGGGCATAGTAGGCTCTTAGTATGAGTTCCCTGCTTTCCTGGAAGGGCAGTGTATGTGTATGCTTGCGTTCGCATGCGGGTCTTGTTCTGGTCTTCTGTACTCAGCCTTGAAGGCTTTTCAAAGTCATTGTCAAAGGCCGGACTGATGATTCTAGTGCAGGGCATGTTCAACAATTTCTATAGGAAGGGGGTGTCGGACTCCTAGTACCTACCCTGTTCAAGGAAGGAGAGCAACGTGCACTTCGTCCCTGGGTTGGGCTCACTGTCCCTAAACCCTAAACCCTACTCCCTGTGTTGGGCCCACTGTGTTTCTTAACATCCTCACCAGGCATCTTGGCAGCTTGGGCTGTACATTGAACGACCTTCCGGGCCTTTCTGGTTAGTACGGCTCAGTGGCCCCTACACCTTTGAGACCTCCCAAAACGGAGCGATGTTGGATCTCCCCTTCTTTAGAAACCTCCGCATCTTTGCCTTCAGCACGTACTCAGTTGCAGCCCCTACACCCGAACCCCAAGCATTCAGGCCTTAAACTCCTTTAAAGGGATTGGGGCCACCAGGCAGATTCACAATCTCCCGAGCTTAGATCCCTAAACCAAAAACCTAAAAACCCCAAGACCCTAAGCCCTAACTGAACCCTAAACCGTGGAACCCACAAAGCCGGCTGAACATCCCTGCAGGACCTTGGCCCAGAGGTTTACAATCTGGTTCGGAAGAGGATGGTCGCAGGCATCCGCTACTTTTGTGATTCAAGGATTTAGGGTTTGGGGTCCGTGTGGACTGCGTTAGGAGTTTACAAAGATGCGGGCTGGTTTACGGTGTGTGCTTTTTGGATCCTTATGCTGCGAATCCCTCTTGCGTGTGAGGGTTTGAAGGCTATCAATTGCTCACACATGCTTTGGACGTGCTGCCTTGCTAGGCCATGACGACCAGAAGACAGTCCGGAAGCTTAACCCTAAACCCCACAGCCTCACCTTTCACTCCTAAACCCTGGTACCCCTGGTACCAATCCCGTAAGCCCATTTCCCTACGCATCCCCACATCCCCTTTAGGGGTTCCTAAAGGTACCCCTGGTTTCCGCGACCCTTGCTTGACTCTTCTCTCCTTTGCCTTGGCATCTTGTCTAGGCATCCTGGCCACAGACATGAAGCACCATGGGGAGCACGAAGCTGCCTCAGTTTGGCGTTGTTTGTAGGGGTCATACAGGGGTCGTATAGGGGATATATAGGGTTATATACGGGGTTACATGGGGGCTATATGGGGCGTATATAGGGTTTAGGGTTGTTTCTGTCAGATTGCCAGCGTCATTCTTGTTGACAGGGCCAACCTGAACTTAGCAGAACTTGCGAGAGTCACTTGCTAATTGTGTTGGTTGGGAAAGTTTGTCGTGTGCCTTCGCAAGCTAAAAGGCATGGTTTATTTTAAATCCAATTCCCTTGTTGTTGGCAAGGTTCCAGTCTGGACTCTAGTAATGTGGCACCTGTCAAGTGACAAAGGCCTCTCCAATTCTCTCCTAAACCTATAGTCCCCCTTAAGTAGAGAGAATATGGGGTATATGGGAATCTTATCATAATATACCCAAAACCATATTTTATCTACTAAAGGGGGACTATACACCCTCTTCAGTATCCCGGCTCCCAGGTTGGCCTCTTGAAGGAGTTCACGCTGTGCCGACCTGAATTCTTCTTCTAGGTCTCACTTAGGAGGACCCCCCACCCTGTAATAGTGGTATAATAAGAATACAAGAGGACCCTAATATGATCCCTATTATCCCTTATAGTCACTATTACGGGGTCGGGGGTCCACCTAACTGAGCATAGTCAATGTGACCAGGTCAGTCCCCTCATACTGCGAAGTGTGCGCAAAGGATCAATGATTCGCGTCGTTGTGTTATGTCAAAGGACGGATGGTGTAGGCTAGAGGATCTAGCATTAAGAGTAGATAAGCCATTGGATGGGGTATGTAGGGAAGCAGATAGCTCCTGGAACCATAACATGGAGAGTATACAGTGTACAGGGATGGAAGTGGAATGATACGGGAGAAGCCAGGACTCCTGTAGAAGTGCTCCCCAACTACAGTGAAGCCTAAACGCAATGGGCACACCTGAGGCCATGAAGTGTCGAATACCTTAAGTTCTGCACGCTAACACCCTGAACCCTGAATCCTAGACTCTCAATCCCATCCCACCCCTTCTACAGCCCTTTATTAGAGGAACCCTCAATCCTCCATCCAAACCCCTCCACCCTGAACTAAGCCCTACCCCCCCTCACCCCCTCTTATCAACCATTGAGGAACCATCACTGAACCCTGCCCTAAACCCTAAATCCCAACCCTCACTAAATCCTGGCTTTCAGGGGCGAAGTCTCGGAATCGCAGAGCCAGTTCTTGGTCGAGGTCCTTCTGCATGCGGAGTGGTCCTCAGAGGTTAAAAAAGGGCACTTACAAAATTAGCGGATCTCTTACTGGGAGTAATTTGGGGTACCTGAGGCTTTTTTTGGTTTAGGCTTTCAAAACTTCGCGATCCCTTCTTGAGGGGTTCCTAGAACAAGGAGGGGTCCCTATTTGCCTTCCTTTTTATGGAAGACCTTGTATAGGGGGTTTGTAGTTTAGGGCCTAAGCTTCAAAATCTAAGCCCCACATCCTTCTTAGGCTGACGGGGGCACGCGCCTCAACCCTAACCCCGAAATCCTAAACCCTAAATCCTAAACTTCAAATCTTAAACCCTGAGTCTATGGGAGTGAGGTCTTCATCAACCTACAGACTCATGGAGCAAAGTTAAAGATGTGGGAGGCCAGGCTGAAGGAATCCCAAAATTATGTAGGATAGTTTAGGGATTTAGGGTTTAGGGTTCAGGGAAATATCAGCCTATTTTTTTGTGGAATCGCAGGTTCTTTGCTCCTTTTCTACACTTTGGGGGAGGTCTCCGAGTTGAGGACATTGTGTTGAGGGTTAAGCTTACTTGAAGCTCTTTGGGAGTTTTCTGTACCCTAAACCCTAAACCCTAGACCCTAAACCCCAAAGTTTTCTGCATCATTCTGAGAAGCCTGTGCCCTCATGTCGAGGCGGTGATGTGGGTTCAACCTCCTGCAGTATCCTTATAGGTCGTCAAAATTGCAGTCTGTTCTTTGGGGGTATCTCAAATATTACGGGTCGTAGTATAACAGGGACCACAATCAGGGAACATCATTCTGAAAACCCTCCGCGTAGCTCGTAGAAGGACTTTCCAACAAGCTACGTAGACGAACGTACTTATGTAGAAAACTCCTTCAAAGGGCTTAGGGAGACACGGCTAAAGTGTAAGCGTTAAAAGCAAACCCTAGCCCGCAATCCTAAATCCTAAGCCCTAAGCCCCGAACCCTAATCTTTGAAGCCCGGGCATGATTTGCTTTGAAAGAGCTACCATCGGTCCCAAGGCCGACATCAGCAACCCTTTCATGC